TATCCCATGATGACAGTCACTTCTCTTCTTTTTTGATATAATAGTATTTTTTCTAACAACTGTCTCAATTCAAAATATTAAATGTGTTGATTCCGTTTAAGAACATAGTAGTTCTTTCCTTATCTCTTATGCTTCTCAGATAAGAAAAAAGATGTGAGGGTTCCCAAAAGAATGTTAAGCACTTCTAAAACTTCTTCTTACTGATTTTCTTTGCTGCATGCCATTGGATCACCATTCTACTTACAAGATGCCAGAATCTTGTACTAAATTAGTGCAGTGCAGTATAGATTGAAGGATGGGTGGGAACTAATTACAAGTCTGAATTGCACTGCAAATTATTAATGGCAATAAGAGTTTTTGATAGTGGGACCTCTTGGCCAGCCTTCTAAAGCAGCATATAGATATGGCACCATCACAAAAGGTATCTCTCCCTTTTCTAAAATGGCGGCCTTTTGCCTCTTGTGTAATCCACTTTGAAAGGATGTTAGGAGATTGAAAATAACTAACATAAGAAGGGTTTTATTTTCAAAAAAAATATTCCTTTTAAAATGATGTAATGGACAACTTGTTGAAGTAAATGCAGCAAAATCAAGAAGCAATTAAAGGAAATGATGTATCAAAATGGATACATTTCAACAAACAAGCTAGCTTTCATACGAGCTAGCTGTTCTTTTCAGCAGAGTGAATTTAAAACATAATGGGCAAAAAGGCAGTTTCTGGCTTGTCAAATTCCAACAAGTTAAGAGCATTTTTTCCACTTGATTAAGTAACTGTGGGAAACCAATATACACTGATTAACTTTCATATTTCTTCTGAGGAAAAAGTCTGCATAAAGGAAAACAAAACCACGTGGGTAGAATTAATTTGAATATAGTTAATGGATAGGGACAAAATCTCTCAAATTTAATATCTGGAATGCTGTGACTATTTAAAAAGCAGAATAGTTGTTAAGCTCGTTGCCATAGGATTTTTTATCATCAGAGAAGTTGATTAATGCCCCAGGAAGTCCACTGAAAGATTACTTTGGTTTTGAATTACATTTTGGTCAAAAAAGAAAATGAAGACAAAGTTTGATTTAATACATTTATGAAGTACAGCAGTAGTTTTTATACGATATGCATGTATGGCATTCACATGTGATTTCAAAGGTCAAGAGTTTGTTATATAAATTTGCATATGGTTTAGCTACAAGAGGTCTGGATAACACAAAGCTCATGAAAGATCTGGGCATTTTGTTCTTGGACCATATTGGGCCCTTTGGCTGTCCATATCCAACCCATGTGAATTCAATTGGAAGGTAGGAAAAAATATATAAATAAACATATCACAGAGGTCAAGAAAATAAGCCAGGGATTCTCCTTTCTGTTGGCTGGCAAGAAAACGAGCTTTTCTGCACCTATAGCAATAGAGCACAGCTGGGCTGAGAACAGGTAAGGCAAGGCTCCACACTCCCTCTTCATTCAAAATGAGAGGTAGGCTGCAGCCGGTACAGACCAGTTCAGGCGAACTGGTTGTTAAGATTCTGTGCATTTCGGCGAACCAGCAAATCATTGGCTCACCACGCCCCATCCACCCTGACCTGTCCCACCTAGTCACTCCTCATCTTGCCCGCTCACCCAGCATAGCTGCTGCTGCTTTCTCTCTAGCTCCCTTGCTTGCCTTGACCACATGGTCTCTGTGGCCCAGACAGCTTGCCTGCCTTCCGCTGTAGCTGCATACCACATGGCACTCTCCCCACAATCCAGATGAACGGCCCTGATCTGCCTGGGTGAGCCTGCGAGTAAGGCTCAAATCCTGGCCTAGCTGCCTCCCACATGGCCCAGAAAGCTTGCCTGCCTTCCACTGCAGCCTACCATGCAGTGGCCATGGTCCAACTCTCTACCTCAACTGCCTTCCTTCACCGATCTCCGCTCCTCTTCGCTTGCCTAGACTAGACTTACCCAGCTGCCTTCTGCTCCCGCCTGCTCCAGCAGCAGAAGCCTTGAGGCAGAGGTAAGCACGGCCAGCCACCCCCTTGGAGAAGCAGGGCTGGGAAGGGTGCTTGTCTCCAAAACCTTCTGTTTCTCTCACCTTCCTACTGCTTCTCGAGGCCTGAGACAAAGTGCTTGGTCTGGGGACACAGCCTTCCATGACGGAGCCCTTCCTGGGGAGCAAAGCCTTGGACAACCTGATCTGTCCCAAAGGCCTCGAGGAGCTCCAGACTTTCCATTTGCCTCCGCCAGCACGAGTGCCCTGCCCTTCACAGATTCCAATGGGGCCAGCACCCGGTGGTGTTCCAGGAGGGAGGGCAGATGTCCTGGGGCTGCATGCGCACCCCACAGTGGAGCAGCAATCTCGGCCCCAGCACAGCATCTCCATCCAAGGCCATCTGCCATCAGCCTTACCTTCATGAGCAGGAATGCACTGGCCCTGTTGGGATCTGAAGGGCAGGGCGTTCAGGCCGGCGGAGGCACATGGAAGCTCTGAAGGTAAGGCCAATGCTGATGGCAGAGGAGGGAGACCCACTGCACTCAACCAAAGAGCGGCCTTTTGGCTTCCGTGGGACTTGGCTTCCGTGGGACCTGCTCGCTTTCCCCTTTGCCTCGGGTCCTGTATCCAGCCTGTGATAGGGGACATGCTGCTTCTGGGCCTTGCCGGCCAGCGGGTGGGCAGGCGGCCTTGAGGGAAGATGCTGCATTAGAGCCAAGACTGCTTCTCTGCTGCGGTGTGTGCATGCAGGTCCCAGACATCTGTCTACCCTCTTGGAGCGCTGCCACTGCTGCCACTCTGGAGCTCGCCTTCTGCCGCTGCAACATTGGAGCTCCGCTTCTGCCTTCCACCACTGCTGCCACTTTGGAGCTCGCCTTCTGCTGTCTCCACCCTGGAGCTCCATTTCTGCCTTCCGCTGCCATTGCCCTGAAACTCTGCTTCTACCTTCTGCCACTGCTGCCATTACTCTGAAGCTTGCCTTCTGCCGCCACCACCGCCACTACTGCTCTGGAGCTCACCTTTGGGACAGATCAGTTCATCCAAGCCATGCTTTGCTCCCTGGGAAGGGCTCTGTCATGGAGGGCTGTGTGCCCAGACCAGGCACTTTTTCTCGGGCCTCCCACCTCACATGAGGCAGCAGGAGGAGGAAGTGTGTGGCCAGGGAGGTTGCCCGCAGTTCTTGCAGCCAAAGCTAGGTTGAAGTATAAAGCCTCCAAGGTACCATCTTCTAGCCTATGATTCTAAAGTCTCCAAGACAATGGAATTTGCTTAAATTGAGTGTGTGAGAGAGGGGGGAAGGGTGGTAGGGAGAGAGGGAGATGTGGCTTCTTGGGGGTGCATTTTGAAGAAGTATCAAGAGAAATGCCAAAAGGGCCATCATGTTGGGATTAAATTCCAAATGAAATTGGGCCTTCAGGGTAAGGAGACATGAAGAACTTTCAACTGCAGGTTTCTAAATATCTTATTAAAATGAATGTCTAGAGACAGCTCTTTAACTCATTTGTCCAGAGGCAGTTTAGCTATTTAGCTCAGGAATAACAGAATAACTGAAAGGGACTTTGGAGATCTTCTAGTTTCCTGCTCAGGCAGGAAAACTGAGGATGCCAAAATCTGAGTGGGGGGCCTGGGAAAGGTGTCAGAATAACAGAATAATACTTACAAGGGACCTTGTGGGGGGACACCCTATACCATTTTAGAGAAATGGCTGTCCAGTCTTTTTAATGTCATTGTGCATTTTACTATTGTGAGCCGCCCTGAGTCCATTGGAGATAAGGCGGCATATAAATCGCATTAAACTTAAACTTAAAAACTTTTTAAAATAACTTCCAGTGATTGAGCACCCAGAACCTCTGGAGTCAAGCAGTTCCACTGGTTAATTGTTCTCACTGTCAGGAAGTTTCTCCTTAGTTTTAGGTTGCTTCTCTCTTTGTTCAGTTTCAATCCATTGCTTCTTATTTTGCCTTCTGCTTCTTTGGAAAATACATTGCCCCTCCCCCTCACTTCTTTGTGGCAGCCCCTCAAAAACCTATTTTGTGACCTGCCTATCACACTCTTGGGCAAAGCATGTGAGCCATTTCCTCCTTTCAGTGGTCCATGAAAGTACATCTATAATATGTGGATGCAGATAATAAAGTTGAAAAAAAGTGAACATTTTTACAGAACTATAGATATGTTGAGGCTGGGCATGACAAGGAGTGTCTGGGAGGGGAGGAGCCAGGCAAGGCACTCTTTGACGTGAATGGTGTTGAATTGGCCATGCCCACCCAGTCACATGCCCACCCAGCCATGCCCACCCAGTTATATGACCACCCATGCACGTCCACCCAACCAGTCATTAGGGCAGAGAACCGGTTGTTTAAAAATTTGCAGCCCATCTCTGTTCAAAATGTAGTGCCAGTGGAAGTTCAGTCTATTGGTTCAGCCCTCAGTTTTCAGTTTTTCTTGTGACCTCTTAGAAAACTAATTGGTTCATGAACTGCCTATTGTTTCTCAGCTCCATGTTTCGTTTTCCTTAATTTTAAGCCAATGAATCTAGTAAAATCTGCCATTTTAATTGCTCAAATAAGAGTAGTGCACCTTTTATAGAAAGTGAAACATGATTATGCTCCATAAGGTAATAAGAATAAAAAATGTTGAACATTCTTAAAAACGGAAGAACAAAACCATCATCATTAGTGTTATCCATTCTGGAAATGACATCACATCCTTTTCTGGCTTTAATACACCAATAGATTACTCTGCTTGAAATAAGTGATTGTTATTTCTGTATATCCAAACATACCATATAACTCACAAGTTTCTGCATCATAATATTTCTAGAATTCACATGTTCACTTCCTTGAATACAAGAAATTAATTTGAAAGTAGAGGAAAGATGTTGTTTCTCCCACACACAGACACACACACGTTTTTGTCCTGTGACAAAAAAACTAACAACTTGATTTGCTGCTATAAAATGGAGTATTGAGAATTTGCCACCTCACTTCACCACAAGTTCTGGAAAGTAATTGGTGTTGTTTTTCCACTTGTAGGGAGCACAAGGAAAGCAGAAAGGAAGCTGGGAAAATCTACTAATCTCTGCTCTGAAACTTAAATCTGTAAGCACAACAATATTTTCCAATTTGCTAAAGCTTATGTCTATAGATCTATTTTCTATACTTCTTTAGTGTGCAAAGGGTTAATTGACTGGAATTTCTTGATTTTACAAGGACTTCATACAAGTTGTTTGCTAGTATCTGCACTCATATTCATGCACAGAATTATCATCAAGGCTATTTTCAAGGAGAACAGATTTACTTTCAAATTTCCCTCCTAATAATGGTCATACTTTAATAATTTTTGTATTATAATTAAGGAGAAGATGCCTCCCAATCTAAATTAATTTTAGTGGAACAATAGCATGATTTAATATAAGTAAAATTCTGTATCTTGAATTTGAACAAAGATTTATATATACATTGTTCTAGACTCCTAGTTTAAAGTCAGCTCAAAGACTTTATCATTGTTATACAAAACAATTATCTTTGTGAATGAATATGCTTCATTACAATTTGTAGCAATGGACTTGAGATTTGCAATGCATATGATGTACTATCTATAAACCACTGCCCTAAGAAATGTGCATTGGTTAAACCTCAGGCTAGAAACCATGAGATTGTAAATTCTAGCCCCACCTAGGCAAATTAAACCCAGTAGGACAACCTTGAACCAGTTGCTCTCTTCAAACTTAGGAAGGAGGCAATGGCAAACTACTTCTGGAAAACCTTGCCAAGAAAACTGTAATAACTACTCCGGTCACTGGGAATAATAATAATAACAATAAAAGCTCACTCAAAGGCACATGCCTGGGGATCGCTAGGAATGATTTGACAAATCTGGATGGCTAGGAGGGTATGCACATGCTCCTCACCACTCCATGTGTATTTCCCAAAGTTCCACTTTTATGGAAGAGGATACCTCTATTGGATAAAAGAAATGTTCATTCCTTAGTCAGTATAAAATAATTGTATTCCACTGCTATAATCTTTAAAGAAGCTTAGTAAAAAAAGCTGGTTCCATATGCTATCTAAGCTATCTACAGTAAGTTATATTTGTATATAACTTAGGCAGGTTCTCTGTAGAGAGGCAGAACAATTAAATTTAAAGTTATGAAAACAGAAATTCAAAAGCAAAACAGAAAAGACTGAATGAATTTTATGTATTATCAAAATATTTTGAAATTACTAGTGGGTAAAATAAAAGGGCAGCATAGTGTATAGTATGTATTCATTTTTTAAACATATTTTATTGGTTGCAATACATCAATCAGTGTTTCTTAAACTTTTTGTTCTCAGGATTTCTTCCTGCGATTAAAAATGATGAAGGACCCCCAAAAGAGCTTTTGTTTGTATGCATTTATTGATATTTACCATAGCTATACACTAGTAAAATTTTCATTGTCATGACCTCTAACTGGAAGAAATGGTGCATCATGTGGCAATTATTTTTGAACCAATGTGCCTCTGATAAGCTAATTTACAAAATGTGTAAAAATCCAAGACCCATGACTTCTGGGGAATAAAATTCGGAGGTGTTATAGCTGTTCAGTGCTATTGGCTGTTGCTACACTGCTGAGCTACTCTTGTGGTCACATGATCTTCATTTTCAACATGCCATTACAGTTTTCCAGCCAGTCTCACAATCCCTTCTGGGAGGGAGGGAGGCAGGAGGTTTTTGATGCTCCCTGGCAGCTTCTCAAAAGGAAACTCCAAGGAAGCCATTTGGAAGTCAAGAATTACTCATCTTCTCGCTGCCTTTTTGTCCACCCATGCCCATTTTGTTTCTTGTAAAAAATATCTCCAAAATATGACTATTGGAGCATGGTTCTCTAGTTAAAAATTAAAACTGACACATTTGCAGACTATAAATTAAATCTTATAAAATAGCAATATTAAAGCCACTAGATATGAACATAAATAAAATAAATAATATAATATTTTTCATGGAAAACACTTAACAAATTAATAAATAAAAATAATGAAAAGATTGACATTGATTATTTTTTTGCAAATATCTTCAATATTTTAATTTTGAACTGAGAGTATCTACCAAAGGGTCCTTGGACCAGACTTCACAATCAAATTTTGCAATTAGTTTAAAATTATTCCGTTTACAAATACCTGTATTTTTTTTTTAAATGGAATAACTTAGTATCTAAGCAACACAAATAGCAATTATTAATGGTTTTCTTTTTTCCCATTAGTACAGTTAAAATACATGAATTGTACAGCTTTTATTAATCCAAATACATTAATTGTTTAAGCTGTAATATTTTGTAAAGGATAGAAACGTACAAATCCTAATAGAAATGGTCTTATTCTAATTAAAAATTAAAAATATATCTTAATGTTGTAGATAACAATAAGTATTTTGAATAAAGAATACTTGTAATGCTTCCTTTACATGTTCTGCTTTAAATAGACACTCCCTGTTAATATATCTCAGATGTATTTTAGGATAATTCTTTTTTTATTTTAATTTTTGCCACATTTTAATAGCCTTTATTGCACTGAAATAGCAAATGGAATGATAACTAATAACTTAAGGATATCTGGATAGGTTTTTTAAAAAAACTGGTAATATCTTTACTTCATTTTTCTAATTTTCTTTCAGTTTTATTTCTTGTGCTTAGTTGAGTGTTGATATATTGCTAAATGAATCTAGAATGCATCACAAGAAGGTTTGGGGCGAAGCACATAACCTTTTAAGGATTTTAAAATTCTGATAACATGCTCCCAATACTCTGAAAAGCTATTGGAGCAGTAGTGGAATTCAAAATTTTTTACTACTGGTTCTGTGGGCGTGGCTTGGTGGGCGTGGTGTGGCTTGGTGGGCGTGGCTTGGTGAGCATGGCAGGGGAAGGATACTGCAAAATCTCCATTCCCACTTCACTCCAGGGGAAGGATACTGCAAAATCTCCATTCCCACCCCACTCCAGGGGAAGGATACTGCAAAATCCCTATTCCCTCCCCACTCTGGGGCCAGCCAGAGGTGGTATTTGCCAGTTCCCGAACTACTCAAAATTTCCGCTACCGGTTCTCCAGAACCTGCCGAATTTCATCCCTGCACTAGAGACTGTTTTATACTGGTTTTTTTCCTTCCTCAATAGGCTGTTCTGGTTGATTCAGAAAGACAAATGGAGAGAACAGCCAAAAGAGGAAAGATCAAACTTCAGATATTTTCACATTTGCAGTGTTTTTCTAACACTTACAAGTATAGCTTGAAGAGTTCTTTCTTCAGTTTGAGGCAGGGTATTATCAATATGCTTTTGATTCTCAGCTGTGACTATGTTTAGAGGCTGTGAGGGCCTAGATGTGGCAAATAATGCTTTTTGGTTTAGCCAAGGCTTTTTCTAACATCTCAACAATGTTACAATGTGTGGATTTCAACTCCCCAAATTCCTCATGCTGGCTTAGGGTTGTTTAGAAACACTGATAAAGATTAAGATAAATTGGAGTATCTATTGTTTATTTGATTTTAAAAGGATGTTTTTAACAACCAAAGAATATTTTATTTGCTTTTGATTGACCAGGAAGTCTCTGTTTAAGCTGAAATTATTTTGCTTTCCTTAATTCAGCCTTTTATTCTTTTAGCCATAAATGGAACATCTTTGAACACAACGGTTGAAAAATCCTGGCAGACGTTGAGTAATAGAAATGATAGAAACACTAAAAAATGTACATACAACTTCTTGGCAAGGATTTCATTAAAGAATGTATGAAAATTCCCTATAGTTGATAATTATTCCAAATATTTCGTAGCATTGAGCACTTTACTTTCATAAGAAGAAAGTATACCTTATATTTTCCGGTACAGTGTAAAAGCCTTTTTTTGGGGGGGGGCATTAGAATAATTAGTTAAATATAGTCAATAAACATTATATAGAAGTGCTGAATACTGATGTAGTTATTGTTATCTTAGTTTCAGAATAGCTAACTTTGAATGGAAATATTTTTGTCAAGAAATACTTATCAATGTTGTCTCATATTTCTACTATATTGTTTTTATTTGTGAACCGTTGTTATTTGGTTTCTTAAAGTACCAAGGAAAAAAAGCAGTTCAAATGAAATAATTTAGATGGCTATAATTATTTTATAATTTTCACTAAAACTTAGATTCTAAAAGATATATTGAAACACAAAGGTCAAATGTACAAAGCAACCCATTCATTATTTTTAAACAAGGATTTTACTTTTTTTAAAAAAAGTAATTTAAGGCATGCTACACTTAAATATTATAATGAGTTTTCCATCAGTGTCTTTTTATCCAGAATTAGTAAAACAGAAAGCTATTTAGACCTTGAAATGTCAAGGCTAATTCTTGGGTATGTAATATGTAATTCAGTTATTAAGGGCTCAAAATATTGCATAAACAATAAAATTGTGCTTATGTTTTGCAAATTAAGATGTGATCTTCAGATTTTATTCTATGCTGTTAAGATTCAGGAAGATCTTGACCAGACAGAATAATAGGCAGAAGCAGTCATATGAATTTCAACAGGGACAAACGCAAAATAAGACAGGATTTTTTTAAAAAATAAAAGTATAAGTACATGAGCTCATTCTGCACAGCAGTGACTCCAAAAACATTATTGTCTTGGTGGATCTCAAGCTAAGCATCAGCCAATAGTGTTGCAGTTGCAAGAAACTAGAAAATGTGATTTTAGTATTCATTAACAGAAGCTAAATATCAAGAACAAGCAAATATTCTCAGTGTTTACTGAGTGGAAGAATAGTTACATTGTAAAATGAATCTATTGTTTAGTGCAGTACAAATGAATGAAATATGGGATGCTGTGAAATATCAAATAACAAATCCTGACAGTTTATTGAATTTTATTCATTTCAATATGTTTTTATTTTATTCAATTAGTGAGATCACACACTGCTGCCTTTCTTGATCAAAGTCTAGCCATTATTAATGAATTATGCTCTGAATAGAAAACATATTTGTCAATATATTTGCACAGACTGAAAGCTGCATAATTTAGAATAAAATTCCTTTAATTTCCTAATTGCTTTTTTATTTAATTGCATCTGATAGAATAATATTCAAATTCAAATGTGAAATATCACATTAGTCATTTCATATTATTCTGCCATTCATTGTTGAATACCCTTTGTTTGCTTATCTTGTGACTAATTAAAGAAAATATACAAATATACATGTAGGCAAATAAATAAAAATACTTTTAAAAAGCAGCAGTTATCTCAATTTATCTTAATTCAGCCAATACAATTCAGTATTTTGGGACACCAAAAGCTGGGAAGAAATATGTTCCTTTAGATCTAGAATGTAGTTTTAATCTGAAAAAGAAAACACTGAATACGCACATAAATCTTCACAGTTTGGTTATTTTGAGAAAGTGTAGAAATATGTGTAGTAAAATATTTTACATTGAGATATAAGAGTTCTATGTTAATTTAAGAAAATGAAAATATCCAAAGGATAAACATATTATAATTTCAGGGAAATATAAAATAAATGCAAGTGGTTTTCTCCCCTCAAATAGGAAAAATAGACTAGAAAATTCATGGTAAAGAATCCTTTAACAGTTCCTAAACAAATAAAATCTATTTTCCTTTCAGTAACTTATGTGTAAGCTAGCACAATGGTTAGGTAATTAATTGCAAAACAGAAGGTGATCATATGGATTTCCCCAGACAATAAAATTAGAACTCTGATGGAAACAAATATAATATATATTTCATGAGGGAAAAAAAACCTTGAAACCAAATCCAAATTATGTGATGTTTTTGTTTAAATGGTGCTCTGGCAATAGAGAAATCACTTGCAGAAATGTAGGTAACTGTGGAATTGGCATTGTAGAAACACCCAGGAGCATAGAGGAGTCCAGAGGCAGATGCATGAATAAATGTCTTAAATGTATTTATTCATATAATAAGCATATTAACTATGTACAAAGGCTGTCTTAGTATTCATTATAGGATAGGGGGCACACAGTGTGTGTGACTACCCTGATCAGAGATCAAGTCTCAAGGGAACAAATGCGAAAACAGAGAGAGAGAGCAAGGTGGAAAAGGTTGGAGGGGGTTTTATACTCAGGGTAAGCCCCTCCTTTCCACATAGGGGTGGAGGCACTCTCTGCCTCCACTGGTGTCTATATGACACATGTGCCAATGGCTTGCAAATACTTGACAGTAACATCTAATGTGAAGACCTTTTTATTCCATCAGGCGGGCTTGGCCTAATCTCTTCCCTTTTTAAACATGTAAATTTTAATCTGTTTTTAAATTATTGGGGTGTTTTAAATTTGTCTGGGCCAAAATGATTTAATCTGATTTTATCTGGTTTTTTAAATTTTTTGTATCTATGTTATTTTATTGTTTGGCTGTTCACCGCCCTGAGTCCTTCGGGAGTAGGGCGGTATACAAATCAAATAAAACATAATGT